GACATACGGGTGCGCGCTGCGGCCTGCCCCAGGCAGAGGGAACAAACTGAGCCGCCCAGGCCAGGCCCAAGGCGTGTGGGTGCGGGTGGCTGCCTGCCTGGCGCGAGGAAGGGCAAAGCGGCCAGGGCCTCTTGCGTGCCAGGCTGCCGGGGCCTGCGGTCACCCCTTGCACGAGCCCCACCAGGCCAGGGCGGGAGGGAAACGGTGGGCGTGGGGGTGAACCCGAAGGGGAAATAAAACGTTGGTCTCGTCCCATGCCAGGGATGCAGAAGCGGGGTTTACTGTAGAGACAGCAGTATGCGCGTTCTGCGGGATCAGAAAGGCAGCGGTCGGGGCGCGGAGCTGCAGGGCGCCCAGGAAGTTGTCGCTGGCCTGCTGTGTGGTTCCCTGATGTGGAGTGGAGAAGGTGTCGTTTTCTTTAGTATTTAAAAACAGTCATTTATGTAAAACTTGTGGGTACATCTGTAGTGTACGTTAGGGGCCATGTGACTACTTTGTGTGTTAGCAGGTCTTCACTGCTGAGCTACACTCTTGGTAGCCTCTGGGTAAGTCAGGGTCTGTAGATAATTGCCATAACCTTATTGTCTTTGTTTTTTATCCCAGGATGATCCAGAAAACAGAGAATAGATTGCTTTTAAAATGCTACATGTCAATTTATAGCCTATGTATGCGTGTCATGGAGCAGAAACTTGTGTTTGCTCCATCTCTCCACGGCAAGTACGCAAGTTGCCTCTGGAATTCTGTGACTTGTCCTTCGTAAATTCATTGATGTGGAGAGAGAGAAACTCCTCCTCTTTTTCCCTTTGAAGCTGGTCTAAAAAAGGCAAATGGTTTCATTAAAATTAATTGTGGGTTTGGGAAAACTAATAACCCAAGCAAGTTCCTGAAAGAGGATACCTAAGGTATCCTGCCGTGAGAGCTGCTACATGTTAAGGATGTGTTACTCAGCCTTAACCTCCCACCTTCAAGGTGCTGCCAATTCCACCCACTCCGAGGCCTGACCTCTCTCCTTTTTACCTCTCCTGTAGCCTACCTTCTTCCTCAAACCCCTTCATTTCCTTCCTCTGTTTTCTCTTCCTTTAATCATCTTCAACTTTCTTTCATTTTTTCACAGGCGTTTCTTGGCGAATGCACTGAGTAGTGCAATTGAACAATGACAAACTCAACAAAGACGACACATTTCTTTATGGAGGTTTGCCAATGTATTTATCATCTGTATATTTTGGAGAAGAAACCACGTGTGAGCAGAGGTCAACCCTGCTAGCAGTGTTCCACATACTAAATTGTGATGCTGAGGAAAACAAGATCAAGTAGTGAGTCTGTCTGAATCCCTACACATTTCAGGATGTCATTTGTGCCATACTTTTGGACAACACAGGAGAGGTGGCCTTTAAACAAGGGAGTCAGTGAGCCTGGATAATATAAACAGAAAAATTTGTGAGTACTGAAAATAAACACTGAAGCCTAAGGTGAGTGTTTGTCCTGAAACTTTATAATGAAAGTTTTGCCATGGACT